GTTTTAATGCTTTTAACTTCTTTTTAAAAAATTATTTAATTAAAATTTTTTAATATTTATTATTATTATTTTTTAAATAAAATAATAAAAACTTTTATTTTAGTAATGAAAATTTTTTCGAATTTACATTTATGTAAATTGTATATATACATATAAATTGTTACTGTTATTTTATAAAATTTACAAAAAAATTAATTTAAAAAAAAATAATAAATTTAATATAAAATTTGTAAATTCTGTTTAAGAAAAAATTATAATTATNATTGTATGAAGGAATTTATTCTAATTCTTCGAATTATTGGTTTAACTTATTTTGCATTAGATATTAAGATACTACTATTACTTTTCTAGATCATAGGTTCGAATCCTTTCACGCAAAATGTATTAATCCTACTTTTCTATATCTCTGTTTAAAATCATTTAGCATCAGAATGTATTAATAAGTTCTTAGTTCTTTAGGTCGTGGTTCGAATCCTATCTTAGAATGAGTGGTAGAATAAGGCAACGCAACATTTTGCGCGATCTACTAAGGGGGGTGCCTCCTAAGAGGACTTTCTATGAAAACTGTCTTCTATGTAGATGTTAGACACGTGAAGATAACCTGGAAAACCTCACGTGGCCAACCCATTAGCGATGCGCGAACCCACACCTAGTTATTAGTGTTCAATGGCTTCATCCAGTCGGCCAATGGTGGACCACACCAATTTTGAACAGATATGTTTATGGATATCGAGTTTTAATGAGCCTTTCTGATCTATTTCTCTACATTGAGAGTTCAATACTTTTAAACTGACACATATTAACATCGTGGGTTCGAATCCTCTTTTGATACAAACGTTTATCGGTTTATTTTAGGACTTATTTAAAGAGTATAGTGTATTTTTCTAGATTTTGGGTTCTACCCTTTGGCCTTCTAAAATATTATGGTTCTGCTTTTATCTAAATCAGTGTTTTTCAACCTTTTTGAATACGCGACCCCTTTACAAGTTAAAAAATTCTGGCGACCCCCCTAGGGCCATATTAAAACTATATCAGTGATTTAAAAAAATTATGTATTTAATTTTCTTTCTCTTGAGAGAAATTACTGTTGATGACAAAAGTGAGAATTTATGGTGAGTCGACAATAACTTATGACAAGTATAGTATGTTACTTCCTTCTTATAATAACAATGGGTTCGGAGTGGTGTTGACCTTTTTTTATTTTTTCTTTTTTTAGGATGAGGGTTTTTCACCTCTGCTACTGTACTTATTACTTCTTTTCACAAGTCAGCTCAACACTTTTTCAGCAGTCATTTTCTGGAGTGGGCCGTACCCACCCAGGCGACACCCATCATTCGGACCTAAATTTCAATCAAAAAACCATCTGTACTGTATAATAAACAGGTACAGCCTTCTCGCTGAAATTGTAGTTTTTTTAATGTAGTGTAGGACCTACAAACACTTGTCTTTTTCTTTTACCCGCGACCCCCCGTGTAAGGCTTCACGACCCCCCTGGGGGTCGCGACCCACAGGTTGAAAAACACTGATCTAAATCATGGGTTCAAACCTTTGATTTAGAATGTATTTCCTAGCTTTCTATCTATTGCGGCTTCGGTTCTTTGGTATCATAATATATTAAGATATTCTTTTTCGTTCTTCAGATCCTGTATTCGAATACCATTTTGTACATAAATGCTTATAATTATTGTGCTTTAATTTGAATTACTGTTTGAAGAGAGTGTGCACACCGTTATGTGTCAGTTTAATACAACAGTTCAAGAGAAAACTTTAAAGATTTTTCCTCTGGCATACAGTAAAAGGGGATAATGTAATTAAATTTTAAATTGTTTATTGAAGTGACGTCCACCTCTAAACGGCGGACAAGTTTCCGAGAACGTTTTTTTAGCATATAAAATGACCTCCGAGCAACGGCCATTTTTTAAGTTCCTGTCAGTGGCCGTTGTTTGGAGGTTTAACTGTATACAAAGTGTACAATATAATTTATTAATTTGTATCTTTAAAATCATTACCGTATGTTATTATGATGCACGTTATAGGGAAATATGTAATATAATTGATTGTAATGTTATTTTAGCGCATAAATAATGGATTTGACGCAATCAAATCCATTAAGAAGCGTTTCAGAGAAATACAGTCAAACTTCTAAATAATGGACACTGACAAACAACATAAAAAATGGCCGTTGTTGCAAGGATCATTTTGTATGAATTTCAATAAGAACTATTCCTTAAAACATAGCCGCCAATTAGAAGTGGCCGTTGTTAGAAGTTCGACTGTATTATTTTTTATTATATAAACATGTGAAGTACATATTATATACATACAGAACATATATTTAAATATTTATAAATTAAATTAAGAAATATTCCATCTTCATCTATTGTAATAACGTTACAACTATGTTCTCTATAACGAAGTAATGCATTAAATTCACATTAAATTAATTTTTAATAACGTTATTCCGAAACAAAGAAGATTCCAGGATATAAAATTACTTTAAATAGACTTTTAATTATATTTTCACATAACAAAAAAAGAAAAAAAAAGAATTTTTATTGATTTTTCTAACTTTATAAAACTGTTTTTTAAATTTACTCAATAAATTTATATTTAATTTATTTTACTAAAGTTATTATACGACAACTTTATAAAATATTTATTTTATCTTATAAATATTTAATTGTTTAACAATAAATTTAAGAAATTTTAATATAAAATATTAAGAATTATACATTTTTAAATGTATATACAGTCGAACCTCCAACAACGGCCACTTCTAAAATGCAGCCATTTTTCCAGGATCGTTTCTTTTTGAAATGCATACAAAATTACCTACAAGTTACGCCACCTCCTAACAACGGCCATTTTCTTACGTTCCCGCCAATGGCCGCTGTAGACAGGTTTGACAGTAATACAATAATATTCTTTCAAAGTTACGTATGTTTTATTATTATTTTTATATTTATAGAATATTTAATCGTTATAAATTTTATAATACTTTTTGAAATAAAATGTTTAAACATTTAAAAAATTTATTTTATATAAATTTTTATTTTTTCGTTATTATGCCTATTAATTTAATATTATCTTAATCTATATGTTTTTATCTTTGGCTCACTTGACATAATAATAGTTTCTTGTCTGGTTTCTTAAATTGTGGACAGTCTAATAAATAATCACTTGTCATACTTCTTTTATGAAGTGATCCAGCGTAGAAGAAACAACTTGAGTGATAAAGTTAGAAGCTAGAATTTTTGATAACAAGTTTTATCAAATCATAACATCTCAACTTCCATATGTCTTAGTGCTAGTAAGCATACTAGATACCTTAAAACATGCGAAGCTTCCTCCTAAAACTCTTATCTTAACAATTTTTCAAAATTTCTAGATAAATTTTTTTTTCTAGAAATTTTTCCACGCACTTACAATACTACACGTGTTGTTTAACCATTTGCCACTTGTTTGGGTATATGCATTTATCATGTTGCTTTTACAGAGGTTGTAATACAGATATGGGTCACGTTTTTTAAGTCAAAAGTCAAGCTAAAAAATGAGAATAAATATGTCACGGTTGGATTTTCTGTTCTAGAAAGATAAATCCAAGTTCGGTGGGCGTTATATTAGTGTTACAGAGATATTCAACAGCAGCACTCCTACGAAAATAGTTAACGCGCTCACATCTATCCGCCATGTTTAGTCCTATGTTAGAGTTCTGTTCGTTGTCGATGTTGTGTGTGTTGTTTGACGGTTAGGTTTCCATACTAAAATCATTATATTTCAGAACAGTGTTGTATCGGAATGTTGCGACGAAATTTGCGATAAAATCAATAGATACGTAAAATAACGCATTTCAATCGTACTATACATTTTCCATGTTTAGTTATTACTGTCGTACAGCTGTATATTTTAGCTGCTATAGTTTATATGAAATCGTGTACAAAGTACTGTACATAAGCACAGAATTTCTAAATTAAAAACTACGAATATAACATAACAAAAGGATTTTTTAAAAATTGAAACATATTATGGAGTAGCGCGTTTCAATTATCAATACTTATTCGCCATGTTTCGTCCTATTGTTACTGTTTCGTAAGATTTGTACTATACAGTCGACCCTCTATAACACTGTTGATAATTCCGTTTTATACGAATTTCATGTTGTACGAGTCGCTTAGATTTTACAAATACGTGAGCCGTTCACAGCCCGGCACACGTATTTGTAAAATCTAAGTGACTCGTACAACATGGAATTCATATAAAACGGAATTATCAACAGTGTTATAGGGGGTCGACTGTATATTGCATTAGTTTACATTTAAAAATGTCCTTTTTGTATAAAATTTGGTATAATATGTAAGTAGCGATTATAAAAGAAAACTAGTGAACGTTATATAATATAAAGAACTAAATATGGCTGCATTTTCTTGATTGTCAAAACACAGTAATCAAGGCCGCATTTACTCTTATTATAGTTATAAACTATAATATATAAAGAAACCTTCTCATATACCTGATAATGAATTTTAAAATGTGAAATCCTCAGCTGTAGCTTGTTAAGATTACTGTGAATCTATGGTTTCGTAGTTTGCAGTCATTCAGGGTTATATCTAATCACGCCAGTTGTTTTAAATTAATGTAAAATCACGTATTCGAGTACGAGTTGGGCTTGCATTATATATTTAAATTTTGGTATAATTTACACGACGAAAACAATCTAAAAATAATAAAAAATTGGTTTAACCCGAACTAAAAAGGAAGAATATAATGACCTTATATGAAGACCGGTCTTGGACTCGTCCCATTAAGTAGAATTCATAACTGTATAGAGGTGGGGAGGGTGCCTTGCTGATAAGGTCTATGGACCGGATCTTAAGTTCAGGTCATTCATAAAAACGGACATATACACAGTTCGCAGGTTATCATCACTACAAAATCTTTTCTTGTTTCTTTTTTTTTTTTTTTCGAAAAACATGATATTTTAACCAAAGATTTTCTTTTTTGGTGCATTTTTTAAAGTTTGTATTTTATTAAAAATGCATAATTTAGTGACATTTCGTGACCTCACATAGGTAACTCGTGTTTTAAGGTTATGATCTACACCAGTACACCTATAAGAAAGGTGGATCATGTCATATGTTTTGCTGGGAGAATTTTGACATTGTTTATTAAAAAATTAATTTTTGTATGCAAATTAATTAATTATAATTATTTCCTTAATAAATATAGCAAATAAACCTTAAGAAATATTTTTTTAATATTTATTTTTAGAAGATTGGTTCTTCTAAACAAGGCATGAGATGATTCAAATAAAATCTTCTAATGATATAAACCGGGTATAATCACAGTCGTATCTAATTTTCTATAATCACAGTTATTTTGTCATCACTATTATCGTCATCGTCGCCTACTGATGATGGTTATCATCGAAGCAATTTCATGGAGTAAGTTTTAAATTTCTTTTAAAATTATTTTAAGCCATAACAGAAAACTTTGCAGACAGTTTTATAAAAAGAAAGCATAATTTTATCTCGGAGGCCACTCCAGATCACAAATCACAACCCGTTAGATAAGAGTTTAAAACTGTTGTGAAAGGTATGTTGATAAATATAGGTTGTTGTTCTCTTCGAAATCCGTGCACACGCACAAACTATTTATAACCCGTTTTAGTTATGAGTTTATGCACTCTAGAGTACACTTTAACTTTAAACTTTGTGTTTAAAAATTAATCAGCATCAAGGTTACAAAATTCCAAAGCTTGTCGTCTCCTTTCTCCACGAGTAACACACTTGTTTACTTTCCTACCCGCGCCACTTGGATTCAAACCAAATTTCAACAAATTTAATTCTTTCATTTAAATTTGGCAGAGATTTATCTTCTGTTCTACACTTCTCTTATTGACGTAAAAAAGATTTTTTAAATAGTTTTAACACTCGATGAGAGAATTCGCTTTAAAAAGCAAACTACTCTATTTGGACGTTTAAAACTTCGTTTCGAGTAACAAAAATAAGAATAAAAATCCGGATATTATTGGTTTTTACGTTTAACATAGAATATTTAATTAATACTCAATAACATTGTTTCGTTTCAGGTATGCTTTAAAGAAAAAACCTTAAACTACAAGAACGAAATATTGATTACTACAGGATTCTCGTTAAAGACAGAGTAAACCATTCTCTATATCAAGACTTCATTATATATGTAAAGGATGGATCAACATGGATCAACAAAAGGATCATCAATTGTTCACGATGTCAAAAGGCCACTACTAAAGTACATTTAAAACATATCTAAATGGAAAAAGTCTTTTTTGTAGCACTTCTTCTAGATATGCTTAAAATGAAAAAGTATTACTAAAAGAGCGGTATGTTAATTATTACTTTAAATATTCTTTATACTTTTAATCATAACTAAAAGGAAAAAGTGTTACTCTCTTAGTAGCACTGTTTCCTTTTAAATATGCTTTAAATATGATTTTTGTACTTTGACGTGTTGGTAAAAATCTTTTATTAAATAGAATCTGTCAGTTTGATAAATTGTAACATCTCTCTGAAAGGTTCTTTTAATAAATTTATCATCCTTTTTTTAAAGGAAATGTTTGTTTTTACGAGAAGTACGTTCATTGACATGAACTCGACATTCATTATTCACAAACGTCAATCGGGTGACGTTAATACTCGACTGTTTCCCCAATTGGCTCCCGTAACGAGTTGCTTATAATTATCTTTGAAAAAAGTATAAAGAAAGAAAAAAAGAGCAATACATAAGTTTGTTAACCTTAAAAGTTCTTAAATAATTTCTTTTCCTAACATAAATAGCGAATTTAGAAAACAGATTGCCATTAAATTACATAGGCACCGTACACACGTGGTAATTTTTTTTTATTTTTATAATGTAAAGGTAATTTAAATTGTAAATGTCTAAAAAATACGTGACTTAGAATGTTTAATGTTATCTTATTGTGTTATAAATTTAGTTAGCGAAAATACTTTAATATTTTAAAGTTTTTCTGAATTTCCTGCGGAAGCAGATGGAGCGAAATGGCGGTCATACACATGGATGGACAGGTTACGAGAATAAACGATCCGATTGTTATAGGTCCCAGTATATATTACATACACAATAACCATAATAAACTACAAAAAATAGTCATTTTAATATATATATATTTTTTAATTTTTTTTCCTCTTGTTTTTTCATTGTAAAAAAAGTACATGCTTAAGTGTCTCGAGGATAAATATCGTTATGGTGGGAGACGTACTTTAAAGGTAAAAAATAAAGTTTACCTGTTGGCAACGTGAAAACGAGGATGACAACCGACTAGCCATTTACATCTGGTCAGGCTCTGGTGCACTGCACAAGAGCATTCAGTGTACCAAGACCAAAAAAATTCAAATTACACACAAAAGACCACAAAAATGAGTAAATCGCTAATAGAGAGATCAGAGTGGAGAAATTACCACACACGCTCACACAAGTACACACATTCAAAAATTGTAACAACTAACACAATCACATTCTACATTACGTATTTTGTATATATGCGTGTATATAAAAAAAACCGAAAATTTGATCCTTATAGGTGGGAAGATGTCAGTCTTCGAGACTAGATGATCTATACAGTTTTCTTTTACTTAAATTGTACTCTTGGCTTATTACTAGAGGCGAGGACCTGCCTAGCCTTCTCATAAAATTACGAAGACTCAACCAATTGTTAGCAGAGTCCTTTCTTAGAGTCAGAAATACTTCAAAAGTCGATACCACTTGAGGATCACAGAATACTTTTCCTATCCTCTTACACGTCGATCTGTCGTCCAGGAGGATGTATATGACACATCCTTTCAAACCGCACGGTTCCACTTCTGCCATTTTGATAACGTCTAGGGATATTCGGTGGGTTAGATTGCAAGGTATTAAGATTTCACTAGTCAGGACGGATTTCAGTTTAGCTTCACGAAGTGCGCTTTCTAAACGTTGAGAGAGTAAACTGCAGGTGGCTACTTCGTCTACTTGTCCTTCTTGTAATTCTGAATCTGCAAAGAATAAATTTCTATTTTAAGGAAAAAATCGATAAATTATATAAGTTAATCCTAACTCAATCTACTAGTGAGAATATATACGTACACTAAACAAGTTACAGCCTCACGCTTTTAAATTTATTACTACTTGATGAAGTTGAAGGGCCTCTTATTTATTATACTCTAGTGCCTCAACAAGTATAAATCCTGCGTTTACTACTAGCTTACTCTATAATTAATTTATTTAAAAATTAATTTACGATTTTTAAAAATCATTAATTCTACTTCCTACTAACTAAAGAGAACTGGGATAAGTGTGCAACCCCACTAAAACGGGTTTCTAATGAGTTTGAATAAAATTAGGATCGTTTAGTATGATATAAATCTCATTTATTTTTGATCGTGTATACCGTAACAAGCACAAGATTATATTGCACAGACAGTAAAATAAAATTATCTCTATAATACCAATGATGCAGACAAAGACATACAATGAAATTGGGTACAGATCTTAACTTTATTAAAATTTAAAATACTTTTTTGTGACGAAAATAATTTTCTAAACTTCACGCAAAAAACTTGATCTCTGTTATCTCTAGCAACTTTTCGCACCAGTTGGGTAGTTTCTTAATGGATTTTTCTGGAAAAAACCCCCTAAACTCCCCGGTTTCTTTTCTAATTATAGATAAACTCGTATAAACGTAGCATTATTCCTGCAGCTTACTTTTTTCTGTTTTATTAAACCCCGTTTAGACTGAACAAAATTGTATTTTGCATTCTAAAAATCTAATTTAAATTACTTAAAAGTTTAAAACTAAGAAATTTCTTATTTTATCAACAAAAAATCTCAAAATTTTATTTAAAATTCAGACAAAAAAGGGGGGACTTAGACACGACAGACAACCTGTTAAAACCCGATCGATAATCGAGCTTGGCAACAGAAATACACAAACATTAAGAGGCCCGAGAAGGTTTGGATATGGAATTAAACCCAGTCACACCTTAAAAATGATGTTCAACAAACGTTTCGAATGTTAACGAGTCTATTGTCACCAATATCTGTTAGACGGGGTTACACCCTTTTATATGTGTACTGTACAGTATATGCAACATACAAAATAAGAGAATGACCTAAATAAGAAGGAGATACTCACCTATAGAATCGATCCACGATTCAGAATCTTCATTAACGTTTGATATTTTCATGTTAATTCTGTTTCTCACGATACAACCGAATTTGTCCACGATTCGAGTCCAGGAAAGTGAAGACAATTGCTTACCACCGGCGTTTACCGGTATAACTAGTTGACTATTTGACATGAATATCCGTCAGACACCAAGTTATATTGAGAACCGTGTTGTTCACAGAGTTCTGAACTCAAAAATAGGGGGGTCCAGATCGTTCCTCTAACAAAAACCTTTTCGTTCTGACATCAGCGGAGCATTGAACAGCTGATTTTAAGATCCATTTCCTTGGCTAAACCACAGCCAATCAGAGACGAGCTTTTTGGCTTTGGTCCAATAGTACTTGGTGATATTGACCATAGCAACCATCATCCACGTGTGTGTAACTGGCTTTCAGTTTCTAGCAGACGATTCATTTTTAGTTTTTCTAAAATTAAAATACTGTATTTTAATTAATTAAGTCAATTAGTTGTATACTTGTGTTAAGTGACAGCGATTTGGCTGCTTAAACTCTTTTGTTAACTTTAAATCATAAAAAAATGACGTCAGTACTAGTAGTAGTGTAGTAAACAGTAGGCTCTGTACTTATTGCTGATTACTAGTTAATTACGCAACAGATCGTGTTGTGTGTGCAGTAACGTGGTGATGCAGTTTTTTGTTGGTCGTTCTGGTAATGACGTCAGCCGAAGTTAAATTTAAAAATTTCAATTTTAAATTCTAAACTTTTATTTTTATGGTATATTCGGTACGTTAATTATTCTATTATATATCTGTTAGGTAACAATGCTAGATTTATCACTTCAAATAATTAAAATGGAAATTGTTTTTTTTTTAATTTTTGAGTATTTTTACATAATACATTATTGCCACTTACGTAACATAACAGAGTTTAAAACTTCAAAGTCGTGCAGTTTCATTGGCTGTTTTTAAAAATTATTTTAAATTAAATTATTATTACGAGTAACATGCGTTACTTGATTGTATTGTATCGATTCGAATATTTCTTATGTAACTCGGATGTTGTTACTACCTTTAAATAGTTTAATTTACTTATTTTAAAAGTCGTTAATAATAATTTTTAATGGATAAGTAACGTGTTACATCAATTGTTCGTGTGTTTCATAGAGGAAGTCTTTTGTAAATAGTTTTGGGTTAGTGGAACACAAGTTAGGCATTAAAACGTTATTTTTCTTTTTTTTTCGAAGTCAAATACCCGAGTAAAAAACAAATTTTCTCGTGTTTTTTAGATTAAAGAATAAAAAAAACTTGTTTGTGAATTTAAAATAATAACAGTTCCTTAGAGACAAAAACGAAAATCGAATCTTTATCTACAGCAAAGTATAAACAGGGCAGGATTTGCACACGAGCTGCATATTAGGGCCTCATATAAAACACTGCAGCTTAGGGCCTCACATTATAAAACTAAAGCTTAAGCCCAGCACGAGACTACAGCCTAGGACCTTATGCTACGAGACTACAGCTTAAAGTCTCACCCTACAACAATAGAGCTTTTAAATTTATTATTACTAGAAGTGTCTCTTGTATATTAAAATTTAGATCCATGACAAGTCTAAATCCGGTTCTATTATCTAGAAAAGCAGGGCCAAATTTAAACAAAAGCTAACAAGTATAGTTTAAGGCCTTACGTTTTTAACTTTATTGCTNTATTAGTGTTCAATGGCTTCATCCAGTCGGCCAATGGTGGACCACACCAATTTTGAACAGATATGTTTATGGATATCGAGTTTTAATGAGCCTTTCTGATCTATTTCTCTACATTGAGAGTTCAATACTTTTAAACTGACACATATTAACATCGTGGGTTCGAATCCTCTTTTGATACAAACGTTTATCGGTTTATTTTAGGACTTATTTAAAGAGTATAGTGTATTTTTCTAGATTTTGGGTTCTACCCTTTGGCCTTCTAAAATATTATGGTTCTGCTTTTATCTAAATCAGTGTTTTTCAACCTTTTTGAATACGCGACCCCTTTACAAGTTAAAAAATTCTGGCGACCCCCCTAGGGCCATATTAAAACTATATCAGTGATTTAAAAAAATTATGTATTTAATTTTCTTTCTCTTGAGAGAAATTACTGTTGATGACAAAAGTGAGAATTTATGGTGAGTCGACAATAACTTATGACAAGTATAGTATGTTACTTCCTTCT